GGGGGTACCGAGACAGGGCTGGCAGCCGGGGCAGGAGGGGCGGCCTGCAGGGGCGTGGGCCGTGGGACAGGCTGGGGGCGCGGCGCGGGGGCTGCACGCAGGCCCCGTGTCACCGGTGCTCCGTCCGCAGGCCGCAGCTGCTGGTGCTGGTGCGGGTGGACCAGGACCAGAACGTGGCGCACCCGCAGCTACTCTCGCTGACCTCGCAGCTCAAGGCGGGCAAGGGGCTGACCATCGTGGCCTCCGTGCTGGAGGGCACCTTCCTGGACAACCACCCGCAGGCCCAGCGCGCCGAGGAGGTGAGGGCCGCGCTGTGGGGCTGGTCCGGGCTGACCCTGCTGACCTCCGGCCGGGCAGAGCTTTGCAGGCAGCCACCCCGGCCCTGCCCGCTTCCAGGACCTGGCGCTGCCCCGGGGCCCTTGCCGGGCAGGGAGCCCGGGCGATGGAGGGCTGCGGACAGGCCGTGCCACGGCTGGGCTTCCCCTAATGTGATTAGGAGCTCGTCTCCGCACAGCGTCTCTGCGGCACAGACATGTTATAATTTCTCTGAGTAAATATTGCTAATTGCTGCCCTCCCTGCCCGTCAGAGCCTGGCACGGGGACGCCCTCCCGCTCGGCGCGGAGCGAGGGCGGCGTACCGCGCAGCGTGCTGCCTGGCAGCGGCTCCAGGCCATGGCAGCCGCCCGCACTCCCGGCGGCAGGGGTCCGGGCGCGCCGCCCCTCCCCACGCCCCCCTGGCTGCTCGCCCTGGCTCCCCTGGCCTCCTGCCCGGGCCCTGCCGTGCCTGGCGTGGGGGCTCATGCCGGGTCCGTGCATGCCAGGAGCGCCCTGGGGCGTTGGGTCTGAGCGCAGCCCTCTGTCCCCCAGTCCATCCGCCGTCTGATGGAGGCCGAGAAGGTGAAGGGCTTCTGCCAGGTCGTGATCTCCTCCAACCTGCGCGACGGCATGTCCCACCTCATCCAGTCCAGTGGGCTGGGGGGGCTGCAGCACAACGCGGTGCTGGTGGGCTGGCCGCGCAGCTGGCGTCAGAAGGAGGACCACCAGACCTGGAGGAACTTTATCGGTGAGCGCTGCCAGCAGGGGACGTGGCCCCAGGCCACGCGTGGGCCTGCGGGCACGGAGCCCCCCAGGTGTGCCTGGGAGCTGCTGCCAGGCTGGGGCAGCGCAGGGGGTGTTGTGCCCGCGGGGGGGCCTGGTGCTCGTGGGTGCGGGGCAGGGTTTGTGCAGCCCAGCTCCATGCCAGGGCCCATACTTTGCTTGCTGTCAGCAAGGGGGAGCCCAGCAGGCAGCTCCTGCCCCCCCCCCAGCCCTTACAGGGGCCAAAATCTTCCTGGGAGCTGGGGCTGCGGGGAGGAGATGCCTGGCCCATGGGCAGCGCGGGGGCAACCTTCCCAGGAGGTGCTTCCATACACTCCTACACACACATGCATTTGTCCCACACACAGCATCCACATGCATGTGCCCCCCCCACTCATGCAGCATGCACATGCACACAACCATGCCCTGCACACACACACACACACACACACACACACAGTTCCCTGCACATGCACATGTTCCACACATGCACAGCACCATGGATGTGCACATGCACACCGCCCCACACACAGAGTTCCCTGCATACACGCACACACATACACACCCCTGCCCCCCAGGCGTATGTCCAGCTCCCCCCACATGCGGCTTGCAAATATACAATTCCACACACAGTGATCACTGAACCCCAAACCCACTATCCTACCATACTATCCCTTTCATAAACATATTAAGTTAAATCTTAAAATGATTCAGGTTCTTTACTTACATGTATTTGGCTCACAAAACCATTCAGGAACTTTATTCCTCTGATGCAGCTTGAATCTGAATTTGTCCATAGCCAATTTA